ATATGCGCGTATGAATACTTGCAGGGGCATTTGAGTGGATTTTGCAGATTCTTTTGTCGACTTTGGAGGCAGTGAGAGCTTTTATATCAGGTTTAGAACTCAAATTATGTTTTTTGAATGGATATTGTAGAAGATGTTTTAGTTGTTAAGTGGTTAAGTTTTTCTTTAATCATTTTGGGGGGAAATTAACACTTTTGCTGGCGTATTAATATTTTTCCCAATTTTTCTCTATTATTTCATTGTATTGACCCGATCTGCTCGGATTTTACCTAAAACCTTTTTTTCGGACACGAGTCCGAATAGATAAACCCATATGATATGGCCACCTCTATTCTTACCGCGGGTGAGAATAGCGCAGGCGAGTCTTTTGGCTATTCTCACCCGGTGTGCGTTCACCACAAGGAGTTTAGAACTACTGTAAACTCCTTGGTTCATCATTACAGCCTAGGCCAACCAGTGTAGCGTTCACCCTGAACCACAGAATTCTACACTGTGATAAAATAACAGAATTGTAGAATTCTGTGCTGTGAACAAACGTTCCATTACTCTAGATCTACTGTTAGCCTAAACGAAGTGTATACAGACCCGGTAACCGGGAACAAAGTCTCGAAGTACACAGACCCAGTTGGGGAACTCTTTATGATTTCGGAAAGTTTCAGCGCCCGGACCCGGTAGTGTGGGGGTGTGTGTGTGTGTGTGTGTGTGTGTGTGTGTGTGAGAGAGAGAGAGAGAAAGAGAGAGAGAGAGAGAGAGAGAGAGAGAGAGAGAGAGAGAGAGAGAGAGAGAGAGAGAGAGAGAGAGAGAGAGGGGGGGGGGGAAGTGCTAGCAAAATTATGACATGCCTGAGTTGGCAGGAGGGAACGAGAGAAAGATAGAGTGGGAAATAGGTGGGGAGAAAGAAAGACAGAGACAATAAAAGAAAAAGAGAATGCGAGCCATACACAGAGGAGATAGAGAGAGAGAGAGAGGGTGACTGCTCGATTGAAAAATTATGATATATTCTTCTTTTCTTCAAATTGTGATTCCTCCAACTCCAAAAAGGAGGAAAAACGATCGTTCATCGAAAAGACATCCGCAGTCTTCATTTAGATCTAGATCTCTAGGCTAGCCTCGAAACTAGATCAATGATTTATGTCTGTCTGTCTAGATCTAGATCTAGATTAACTAGAGATCTAGAAGAACCTTGGACCCTACGTCTACCCTGAGCCAAGAGGGCGCTGAAACTTTCCGAAATCACAAAAAAGTTCCCCTACCGGGAGTGTATACTTTGTGACTTTTTTCTTGTTCCTGGTTACTGGGTCTGTATACACTCCCTAGCCTAAAAGCCTGCAATTTTGTCTGTGAGCAGTGGAGAGAAAGAGAGAGAGAGAGGAGTAGCGCGAGAACTTCCGGGCAAAACAAAATGGCGACCCACGAAGTTCGGCTCGATTCGAAAAATGAAAGAGCCGTAGCATCTTTGTAGACGATCAAATTAGAATCTAGCTTAGAAGTTTTGTGCTAACACTAACGTCACCATTTTTTTCTCACCCTGGGTGAGAATAGTGCAGACGAGTCTTTTGGCTATTCTCACCCGGTGCGCGTTCACCGTTATAGCCTAGAACTAGGCCAACCAATTTTGCTTTCACCCTAAACCACAGAATTCTACACTGTTATAACAGAAAAATTGTAGAATTCTGTGCCGTGAACAAACGTTCCATTACTACTCACAGCGGACAAAATACTGTCCAGACCGCTCACTTAGTTTTCCTTCCCCGGTTCCTCCCCGACCATCCTCACCACCCTGCCCGCCCCGCCCGACAGCCCAGCGCGTAGTCATAAATCACTTGTCAGAGGGGTTAATTGGGGTGACCGCAGCGCCACTCCTCCTGTGCCGGGGCAGTAGTAAATATGGCGTTTTAGTGCGAATTGAAAGCCTCCTAACTCTGAAACTATAAATGCTACAAGGCCGATTGAGATTTCATTGTAACGTGCTATGTTTGATCTGTAGGCCGGTATAACTTGTTTTCTTGTAAGTCCGATTATATCAGTTTTACAAGGGATTTAAGTAAGTCTGTGATTTTCAAGCTGGCATCTTCAATGTTTAGAACTTTTTCAGTTTGGATTTAGATATTTCAATCCGGCCCCCAATGATTTAAACAGAAATTCATGTATCAACTGTGGTGACAATTTTCATTTACATGTGCAAGTTACAAATGCACGAAGTTATTCTATGATTTTCTGTGATTTTTAAAAAATACCAACCCACCACTCTGAACATTCATCCTTGCTGTTTTTAGTTTTCTTGCCTCTACTACATCTGAATTTCGTTGTCATTTTTAACAATATATTTGTCATGGAGTGCCACACTCAACATGATCATATGGTGGGCATTGTGCTCAAACATCATCGCCTTCTTGAGGAGGCTGCACATGATATAGATGTACAGCTGGCACATGATATAGATGTACAGCTGGTCCATGATATAGATGTACAGCTGGCACATGATATAAATGTACAGCTGGTCCATCAATCTATGGAGAATTGCACGCCTGGAATAGGACAAAATGTGCATATCTACGGCAAAAAAATGAAAGAGGGCTGGAAAAAAACGAGGAGGACATTCAATTGTTACAGGGCTGTCAGATTTTGTCGGATAATCCACGAGAAGCAGAAAGATTTGAGAGGAAGGGTTCTAGTGTACATGATCAGCTGTCAGAGTTAGAGTTTGAGGAGCTTATTCCAAGGTCAAGTCCTGCCTGCTCTGAATTTGATAACATCCTCAAACAACACAACATCACACCACAGGCCTACCACAGCCGTTCATTTATAGGAAGCCACTGCCATAAATACATCACAGCCCATGTGTACAGACAGCTAGCATCATTTTTAGCAAAAGGAACAGTTGCATGTACACGAAATCAAAGCATAATAGACACCGCATTAATTGTTCTGAGAGAGAAATTTGTTCACGTAAAAGACACCTTCAAAGATATCCACACAGTAATTGCACATGGAAAGCCAATCACTTTAGAGAGAATACCACATATTCAGTCATGCATCACACGATATGTCTTTATACAGAAACATATTTGGCAAATAAAAGGTCTTGAGTCGATAGTGCCGTAAAACACGTGCTACTCAATCAAAATCGATCAAAAGAAAAGGTCATCCCCAAACAACACATCCTTGAGAAACACTGCGTTCCTTGGATACAAAAATGTGGGTTTGGAATGGCCTTCCATTGTGAGCAAGGGGGTGATCTCATTCATGCAACCGTGGCCTAACAGACAAAGAAAAACACGTCAAAACAATCATGCAGTCACAACACGTCCAAACCCACCCTGAGCTACTCTGTCGTGTGCACCACCCATCAAAAGACGAAAGCTTACAGCGGAAAAATGAGATAATTCCTCCAGTCCAGCATTATTGTGTTCTTTTTGTATTTTGTGTTTAGGTTGTGTTTTCATAAGTGTATCGGCAAGAAAAGATCTGTCCTGTAGTTACATGTATCGTGGATATCGCTATGAAAAAACAAGGTCGCAAAGCAAGAGTATTGCAAAAATCAACTTCAAACCTGAATAATTACGGATCCAGAAACTTCGTGCATATGCCCCTTTGTCAGTACAAATGTCATTATGTTCTCAGTCCTGTGTGCAAATTTGATTGAATTCGTTGGGGGCAATCATATTTAAATCGATGTTTATAATTGATTACCCATGACACATTTATCAAATTAAGTCCCCTTTTTGAGAACTTCACAGCTTTTAAGTGTAATGTACCATGTTCTTCCGATTTCTTCATTTTCTTCCTTAATATGTTGAATATTTACGTGGTCTTTATTAAAATATTCATCTTACATAATAGCTTTGGCTCACTGTGCTGGTAAACTTTGCAAAAAATACAAGAGCGCTGCCGGTGTTCGGCTGATTAGGGAAATCCCCGGCGGCGCAGGTAAATGACCCCATGACCTGGGGAAGCGCGGGCTTGCTTGCCTCGCGCCAGCCGAAACTAAATGGGCGCTCTATAACCGCTGTGTACTGTTAGCCTACTAAAAGCGTACAATTTTGTCTGTGGGCAGTGGAGAGAGAGAGAGAAAGAAAGAGATAGAGAGAGGAGTAGCGCGATAGCGCGAGAACTTACGGGCAAAACAATATGGTGACCCCTGTAGTTCGGCTCGATTCGAAAAGTGAAATAGCCATAGCATCTTTGTAGTCGATAAAATTAGCTTACTTTTGTGCTATAACGTAATCTTTTCTTTGCCTTTATCCACATCGATAGAGAAAGAATTCCGAAATTAGGAAAAGCAGGATTTGTTTCACAGCGGGTGAGAATAGCCTACAGTGGCAAGTCTCACCCGGGGTGAGAGGTCGATCGTATTTCTATTCTCACCCCAGGTGAGAATAGCCACTTCCTTGCTTTTAATACTTTTATCAATGAAAGTGGCTATTCTCACCCGCCCGGAAGTTCTCGCAAGATCTACTCCTCCCCTCTTCTCTCTCTCTCTGTCTCTTTCTGAATACTGTCTATCGGTGTGGACGATCAAATTGACCAAAACAAAGTTAAAAAATGATGTTAAAACACAAAAGTTTGTTCACAGCACAGAATTCTACAATTTTTCTGTTATCACAGTGTAGAATTCTGTGGTTTAGGGTGAACGCAAAATTTGTTGGCCTAGATCTAGGCTATAACAGTGAACGTGCACCAGGTGAGAATAGCCAAAAGACTCGCCTGCACTATTCTCACCCCGGGTGAGAATAGAGGTGGCTTTTATCAATTTGACTTTGATCATCTACATCGATAGACAGTATAGTATTCCGAAATTAGGAAAAACAGGTCTTGTTTCACACCGGGTGAGAATAGCCAACGCTGACAAAGTCTCACCGGGGTGAGAGGTTGATTGTATTTTTTAAAAATTTTATTCTCACCCCGGGTGAGGATAGCCACTTATGCAATGATATTCAATCGAATAGGAGAGCTGGTCTCCTTTTCATAAACAAAGTACGTTACCGGGGTCAACTTACCTTCTTCCGACTTAAAACTGCCAGGTAAACTATGAAGAAGCTTGGATCATGATCAGTTCTCGATTCCCAAAGTGATAATTACGGTCGTGCGTTCACAAAGTTTATTATTGTTTAGTAACAAGAAGCTCGTTCACAATACTGCTGCTGCTGCTGACGAAACCGGAAACAAAGCAGGCTACTGCTATTAACAAACAAACCAAAAGTTGGAAACAGGAAACAAAGAATTGGAGATTAAAAAATGGATTGGAAAAAAAGGCTTAGAAATTCGTATACTGCAAGAGAATTGTATAATAATATCATCATGCTTATAACGTGGCACAATAATTGTTACAATGACAATAAAATAACTAAAGATCTAAATATTCTAGATCAAATCTTTGTATACTTTTTTTTCTTCAGTTTATCAGGTCAATGCGTTGGTCCAAACCACCATCATTCCGAATTCAGGACCGAGTAGAAATCTATAAAAAGATAGTTGTTTGCATAAAGAAACGAAACGAAATTTCGTTCTCGTAATCTCGTTGATCGAACACATAGTGAATGTGATTTCTTTCAAAGAAGGTAGGCCTACTCAGATTTCGTTACAGTTACAGCTAGGGGGGGGGGGGGGGGGCACTACCGAAAAATCGCCAAGGGGTGTGGGTTTGGACTACATCGACGATTACTTGTCGACACACGTGATGATGTTTGACTTGATTGGCGGCGAGCGAGATATCATCATGTCTCATTGCCTATCACAACGGTAACCGGGCACGTAGCCTCAGGGTCTAGATCTAGATCTAGATCTAGATCTACGTACACGGTAACCGGCAACCGGGTGTGTAGTCTCAATGTCACATACACGGTAACCGGGCGCGTAGCCTCAATATCTACACGTACACGGTAACCGGGCACGTAACTGTAAGCTAGCCTCAGTGTCTACGTACATAGAAAGTGGCTATTCTCACCCGCCCGGAAGTTCTCGCAAGATCAACTCCTCCCCTCTTCTCTCTCTCTCCGTCTTTTTCTGAATACTGTCTATCGGTGTGGACGATCAAATTGACCAAAACAAAGTTAAAAAATGATGTTAAAACACAAAAGTAAATTAATTTGGTTGTCTACAAAGATGCTACGGCTATTTAACTTTTCGAATCGAGCCGAACTACGCGGGTCGCCATTTTGTTTTGCCCGAAAATTCTCGCGCTACTCCTCTCTCTCTTTCTCTCTCTCTCTCCACTGCCCACAGACAAAATTGTACGCTTTTACTTTTAGTAGGCTACAGTTGTAATGGAACGTTTGTTCACGGCACAGAATTCTACAATTTTTCTGTTATCACAGTGTAGAATTCTGTGGTTTAGGGTGAACGCAAAATTTGGTGAACGCGCACCGGGTGAGAATAGCCACAAGACTCGCCTGCACTATTCTCACTCCGGGTGAGAATAGAGGTGGCCACGTACATATGGTAACCGGCAACCGGGCACCTCTCATTATCCAAGAACATGACATGGTAACCGAGTTACGCCGAATATTTAGTTTCCTGGGGGAGGGGCTTGAGCTAGGTGCTCGGTGACTGCTTTGCTCCCTTCATGACATTGACATTAATTTAAACTTTTTCACTGTGTAGTCTCAATGACAATGTCGCATATGATACACACGGTAACCGTGCGCGTAGCCTCAATATATCTACGTGCACGACCGTGTACTTAGTTTCGGGGTGGGTGGGGGGAGTGCAGAAGGGGGCTTGAGCTAGGTGCACGGTAACTGCTTTCCTCACCTTGACCTTTTGGCTTTTTCCTTTTTCACCGTGTATTCTCAATGGGTGTTTATTTTTCTGGAAAACACTAGGAAACACTCGAAAACACCTTCGTACCTTTGGATGAAATCATCATTTTAATATCAGAAGGCAGCCTAGAATCAAAGATTAGGCTAGATCTATGCTAGAAGGGAATGTATAGAGTATATATACAGACCTGGTAACCGAGAGCAAAGTCACAAAGTAGCCTATACAGACCTGGTAGGGGAACTCTTTTGTGATTTCGGAAAGTTTCAGCGCCCTCTTGGCTCAGGATAGACCTGATGCTAGAATCTCAGTATTTCTGGACCGGTCAAGGATAGCATTTCCAAATGGCGTGACGTGACAGAGAGAAATGGGCGGGTACCCGGAGATACAGGGGATACCCACGAACAATATAACTTGAAGAGACACTTCAGCAAATTCACAAGTTCCTTTTATCTCAAAGACACATTCCTGAAAAATTAGGATCAATTCAATTATTGTACAAGATGTACAAAAAGCCAGAAAACATTTATATAACACGTACAAAATAAGTATTGAAAACAATGTCAATAAATACAATTATTCCAAATATACAAAAAAGAAGACGAAAATCAAGGCTTTGGTAAGCTTCTGGGGGTAAGGTATCAAAGGGATTTCGAGTGTTTCCTAGTGTTTTCGAGAAAAATAAACACCGGTCTCAATGTCACACACACTGTAACTGGGCACGTAGCCTCAGTATCTACGTACTCGGTAACCGAGCGTGTAGTCTCAATGTCACATAGTCTCAATGTCACATACACGATAACCAAGCGCGTAGCCTCAGTATCTACGTACACAGTACACGGTAACCGGCAACCAGGTGCCTCTAGTTATGTACGAACACGGTAACCGGGTATTTTGTTTCATGGGGGGGGGGGGCTTGAGCGAGGTGCGCGGTAACTGCTTCGCTCCCTTCGTGACCTTAACCTTTTTCCTTTTTCACTCCGCTTTTTGTTTGTTGTGAGCGGAATGTAATCCCAAAAAAGATCCCAATCTACCCCCTGTCATCTTTCCTAAGGGAGAGCAAAATGCAGTGACACTGAAAATCTGCTAATCTGGAACAGAAAGCTAAAACATAGATGTTTTCAAAACATGTTATACTATCACGAGAGAGAGAGAGAGAACGAGACTGAGAAAACAGAGAGAGAATAAAAAAGTATGCACTTGCTGAGGTCACATACCTCTGTTTAAACAAAGGACAATGAAACAAACGTACTGTCTCCCATCCAATGAAACGCGGACCTTTTGGTTAAAAAACTCGGCTTACTAGAGGTATGAGTATGACGGATCCCAATTCCGTACAGGGCTTGCACCAATGCACGCTTTTCCGCAGCAGGAAGCTCTAGTAGTAATAATCAAAATTCTAAATAGGGCCTACTAAAATTTGCTTCGAAGTTCAGTTTTTGTCATCCGGTGTTGCCTTCAACCCCACCCCACCCCTCCCCGTGACTGTACCTTTAACAAAAATCAATAATCCCCCCATTCCGGAGCCCTATACTTCGCGCAGCGCACACTTTGAATGAACTTTGGTGACCCCAACGATCATTGGTACTCACAATGTGATGTGAAGGTACCGGTTCACCGACCGGTCACGATGTCGAACCCAACAAGACGTTTACTTTCTTTTTTTCCCGCAAGTGAAAGCACAGGACAATGACATATTTTCATGGCGACACAGCGTTTGTAATGCACAACCTGTATGTTACAAATGTTGCGTTAATCAGACTGCTACCGGCAAATCTCTGGGTGGTAACGAAAGCGAAAGTAGATCGAGCTTCGGTACCACGCATACACTTACACTTGCCACCAAAGCGCCCTGTTCATACCTAAAACTATCTTTTGTTTTCGTAAGATTTAGCACTTGCAACACTATAAGGTCATATAAGTGCCGAAGAGTAGAGGTGTTAGTGTTACAAGAGAGTAACAAACACAAAAAGAAGGAAGAGAAAGATAAGGATGATAGATGTTGAATAGGAGGAGAGAAGGAGCAGACCACACCAGAGCACCCACCAACCACCCACTAATACTATCTGTACACACACCACACTTACAATCACATACAAAAGTACATAAACACAGAGAGAGACACACACACACATCATGCATTATACACGTGTGAATAGCCTCTTTATATATTTAATACATAGCATGTTACATTCACACAAATCGCACAACATACACACTGGATAAAACGATATGAGGATAGCTTTATTGGTTGAGTTTGTCAGAAGTAGACTCTTGACTATGACTTTGTACATGTAGTTACATTATAAAAAAAAATTTCCATAGCCTCACAACGATATTCTCTCTGTCTCTAAACACACACAAATCACAAAACATGCACATTGGATAAAACAATATGAAAGATTAAAGAGAAAATAAAAAATGAATGACCTCAGGACATATTAAAACTAATGGAAGAGAGAAGACAGTCAAAATCAAACATGGAAAAGTACATCTTTAGGGGGTATAGATGGTCAACATCCAAAGGCTATAGTATTAATTGGTCTAATGCTTGCTTTTCTGCACCAAAGGGTGTGACATAATACAAAACAAGGCAGCAAAAAGTTCAAGATTTTAGCTATAATAATCATGAGCCATCAAAACAAAAGATTGTCGCAGCATTTTGAAAACCAATTTTATCTTGTCTAAATCACATGGGTCTCAACTCAGAATTCTAAAAAGGAGGAACTTTCCGGGTGATCGCCAGAGAAGCCCATTTTCGCGAAACACACATTGTTATTATATTGTTGAACTCTAGAATGCAGAAATGAAAACCATCAATTTGTCAAAGCAAGGTTATTTCACACCCAATTTGAGGGTTTGGGAGATAATTTCAAGTAAGAGTCACGTACATAATATTTACAATTGTGATTACGTTTAGAAAGTGATGGCGCCTGGGGTCTTGTGCGACTTATTAATATTTCCACTTCATCATATTTGCCTGTATATAAAAATGAATCTTGTTTTGAGCCTAGAACCAGAATATCGACTGTCATGATTCATTTTATCACGTATATATATAGGCCTAATAAACGTGAAAGACAAACATTAATGCTCAAACTCAAAGTACAGTAGAATAGCCCAAGTAGACCTATTCAGTGTGAGAGGCGTAAAAACTGTGGGAGGGCAAGATACAATGATACTGAAAATCTGCGAATCTTGTACATGTACAGAAAGCTAAAATATAGAGATCTGTGACCAATCCAATGAAACGCAAACACTTAGGCTGTTTTCTCACAAGGCCTGCACCAATGCACACTTTACTTAGCAGAGAGCTGTAGTAGTAATCAAAATTCTAAAATTAAACATATTTGCTCAGTTTCAAGGGGGGTTTTTTGTTCTCTGGTGTTGCGTCCAGTCCTCCCCCTATCCCCGAGTGCGTCTTTTTAAAAAATCAATAATCTCCCCCCAAGTGCATCTTTTTACCCATAGTTTTTATTCAGTGTTTGTTAAAAAAAAAAAACTTCCATAATTTCAGAGCTTCTTGGAATCATGTGGATGGAAAGAATGGAAAAGGGGCTCAGCGTAGTCAATAATACGTTAAAGTTTTAAGCATTCTAATAAAATGTCACCTGTCTTTCTTGATGTCTTAGATTTACAAACCGCACTTATGAAGTTGCCATATAACTGAAATTACAGTTAGTGACATTCAAACAAACAAGTGCGTGTCCAACTCAATATAAAGTCTAAAGTAAAAGCATAGGAATTTCTCGGGGGTTTTAAATTAAACTTCTTTGTTGGGTTTCACTGTATTTTTATAACTCTCTAAATGAATAGGTTTACTGTAATGTATCTTAAAAGAGAAAAGAAAAATTATGTTTTATCTGATGCTTTCATTTCATTATAAGGCATACAAACTCCCTCTTCCTGTCTTTCCTTTCATAGAACTGTACTGTAAACAGTTTGACAGGGCGACTGAAGTTGAAGATGCTCCAAGGAAAACTACCAAGTGAAGTAGTGACCAAGCGTCAACAGTACCTCAATGCTTTGAAGCGGTACGTGGAAGAGCAGGAAAAGAAATTAGCAGAAACTCTGGACAAGCTGGGCTGGACCGAGGAGGAACTGTGTAAGGTGTGTTATACTTTGGTGAATAGAGGTGGAACTGTGTATGGTGTGTATACTCTTTGGTGAACAGAGGTGAATAGAGGGGAACTGTGTAAGGTGTGCTATACTTTATTTAATGAATAAAGGAGTAACTATGTAAGGTGTGATAATATAGAGAATAGAGGGGAAACTGTGTAAGGTGTGTTATACTTTATTTAATAGAGGAGTAACTATGTAAGGTGTGTTGTATAGAGAATAGAGGGGGAACTGTGAAAGGTGTGTATAAATACCTTAGTGAATAGTGCCACCAGTTTTTGCTTGAGATAATTTTCTGTGAGTGTTTTTTTTTTTTTATAGGTAAATATTTGATTTGTTCTGCTGTGTGAAAAATTATTTGAACAACATTGTCTACTGCCTACTTTCAGATTCCAAAGAAGCAAGTGTGTCCGTACAACAAAGATCATATTGTTCCTGAGAATGCCTTCAAAAAGCATGTGGAGAAATGCAGGTTGCTCAAAGCAGGTTGTCAAAAGGACGAATTGGTAAGCAGTTCTTAGAGTGCTTCTTGATACAGAATGCTAACATGACTCCACTTGGCGTGCCATTTAATCCCATCTTTTGGTCTAGGTACCCTCACAACCATTCCTTTTCCAATGATTTTTTGTTCTAAACTTGTGTACACGAGAAACAGAAACACCAACAATGAGCTGCAGTACAGCCAAAGTGAAACAGAACAACCTTAGCATTCCTTTTATAATGACCAACCATCAGGTTATCATAAAACAGCTGTGTAATTATAATAGTTATATTTAGAAATGCATCTAAACATTTTTAAGTTTTAAAAAAACATTTCAAAATGAAATCAGACAGGAAAAGGCCTGTAAGCAGGAAATTTGTTTCTATGTTACAAAAACTATGACAAATGGCGGACCATTATTATTGCATGTAGGTGAATGTCTCATAAGATCCCATCGTTCCTTCGGTACAAAATTGTAGATGGATTATTTTATTCTTTTGTGTGATGTGCTCCTTTTTCTTTTCAGTGTTAGTACAATCTTATTCTGTTGCTGGTAATAAGTAAAAATTATTAACACTTTTAGTACCGTTGGCGACTTCCGTTGTTAGCGCTCATTACCGCTCGTGACTTTAGTCGCCAACTCGACCAGGCACACTAGTCATTAAAGAACAACGAACAGAGCCACTGCACTGAAATATACCAAAGGAAGTCACTGTGATAGGTGAATGGTTGATGAGACTCTGTGAATTTTTTAAGCGTGTTTCTTGGGCTGCGAAGGTTTCTTTTAATTAAATAAAAATTCTACCATTGCTTCAGCGTTTTAAACTGGTGCGGTACTTGGGTTTTTTTCTTTGTATGAGCTTTCAGTACAGTAAGTGTTAATGTAACTCACTTGAAACTACAATTCAACGATAACATTTCATATAAGTTCTATTTTCTTCTTTACTGCCTTGTATTTTCAATCCAAGTGCAATGATGGACTGCACTGTCTCTTCCAGTCTGATGAAAATGCATTGATTTTTTTCCCCACATGCTTTTCCTGCCTATAATTGGTGTTTTATTGTCTTGATTCGTCATCAGGAGCCATTGCTTCAAGACATGGACTTTTGGTACAGCAGCTCAGACTCAATTATGAAAGTTGACATTGGTAAGTTTGACCTTTCTTATCCTGTTATAACTTTTCTTACTGTCCTGGCATCCTCCAGTGCAAGAGATTTCGTTTTCAGATCATCTCTGATCCTGTTGGGGTTTTTTTGTTATTGTTTTTTCTTCTTTTTTTTTACATTTTAAAGTTTACATTGAGTGATTATTGAAATTTATTGCACTACGAAAAAGGAGCTCCATGATTATGATACATCCCATTTGGTTTATGTAAGTATCTTTTTTGCTTTGTATTTAATCCAGTCTTACTGTGCTCTCATTTGCACCAGTAGTAGATTTTACATGTTTGGTTCACTTTTTACTGTTAATCTGACATTGTCTACTGCTGTGGAGAATTTTAGTTTGTTACATGGAATTGTGGTTTCATAATACAAAGTTATCATTACATAGAAATGTGGTTTCATAATACAAAGTTATCATATCACACGGGATTGTGTTTTCATAATACAAAGTTATCATATTACATGGGATTGTGTTTTCATATTACAAAGTTATCATATTACATTCGATTGTGTTTTCATAATACAAAGTTATCATATTTCAAAGTTGTCTCTCAAAAGTCAGGACAAGTCTGCCCCTTGAGCAGATAGTCTCCATTGTGGTATATCATTAAAGCTAACTTTTCTGATTCTCCCAGTGTGACAGTGCTGTGTTCACGACAGTCATGCAGATTCCGTGCCTTTATTCCCCAGATGAAAGTCTTTTGAACAAGATCATATGGGACCACTGTGTGCAGACAGGCCAGGGTAAAGTAATATGTTTAGTTGTTTTTTATACTCGTTTTTATTTCACGTTAAATTGAATTGAATATGGTAAAAATTTTGTATAGTTTTCATTTTACAGTGCTTCCACTCTTCCGTATTTTTACGGAAATCCGTACTTTCCGCCAGTTCGGTACTTGTTCCTCCATCTTTATCAACTCCCTCCGTAAAAAGCTGCAACAGCGTAGGACTACCGAAATTCTATAGCAAAAGATCCGTACTCACCTTCTTATCGTCTAGCACTAGTATAAGTTACGGATATTTACGGTAATTCTCTCGGCAATAAGTTAATGTTATAGAAACCTGCCAGATTGCGCATTTCCTGTAATTGGCCATTATTCCGCTAAGCCCCTTGCATTCATTGCGGGTTGGTAGAATTTTTGTGCCAATTTCTTCCTTTCTATCATTCATTCTTTCCATCTGTCTATCTTCAGATTGTTGCCGCAGCTGGAAAATCTGCGCGTTGATCAAGTAAATTGACTTTTGATCTTAGACCACAGAATTCTACACTTATAGAAGCGGAACTCCCTCTTCGCGATCGCCGATTCGCTGTGAGGAATTGAAACTAAAACATGGCGGCCAGTTGAAGGCACCTTTAGCTGCGCCGCACAGCGAGGCTTCGCGTTGCTATGCACGCTGATGCTAGTGATAGGGCTTGGAAGACACCTTACATCAGTATTTTAAAACTTTCTTCGAAGAGGAAATATAGTGAAATAGTCTAGTACATTTTTATTGCCCACAATATGTCATAATTGGCAATGTTACAATGTTTTTGTATTTGTATTGTTGGTTTGTTGTTTTTTTTAATGATGGGATGGGATCTAGATAGATCTAGATCTCTAGATCTACTAAAGATCTTCACAATCACAATACACTTGATAATAACACTAATTGTGAACATAAATTTTGTTGGCAAAATATCTAGATATAGTCTTGATTAGTACTAGATCTACGATAAGGGGACGCTGACAGTAACATGCTCACTATAATAATATTGTCATTAAACTTAAACTTAAGGCCATCCAAAGCAAGCAAAAAAGAACAATATAAGCCTTTTCTCCAATTTACTAGAAAGAGATAAATAAATTGAGCTTATATTGAGGAAATGTATTATTTCTCACTTTAAGAATTCATCTCTGTGTTTGCATCAGTAGTGTGTACAACAACATGCTACAACATGCTTTGTTTAAAGCACACGTGCGAGTCTAACAAATACAAGAGATTGGAGTATGTGTCTGTTGCACATAAAATACATAGGCCTATTGTACAAGCTGCCAAAAACACAAAAATGCAGAAAAGGCCTCAAAATATTGGTTTACACATAAAAGCCAATTATGCAAAACAAAGTAAACAAGAGTGGAACTGGCATAATATGTTTCCTGAATATATGGACAAAGTCATTTTCTGTGTGTTGGGAGTGTGATTTCTAATGCATGAATGATAGGCTCATTCAGATGTGATAATGAAGAAACTTGTGTCTACAGTCACAACAGAAAGAGTTCCATGGCGAGTGATCACTGGTCAAGGATTTCAGAGCTGTGTGCATTTTGAGAAAAATGTATCCCCATACCCTGGATCACATGTCGAGGGGATGGGCTTGTCCCCCTGTAATTCCCGCACACAGTAAACAAACACATATTTTTGAACACGAATAAGAAAAAATAAGTGGTCTCTTGTTACGGATCAAATTGAAGTCCTGTTTCAATTCGATTAATTCATAAAAGTGCGTATCGCAATGCGTTGGCCACCCCTGCCCTATAGGCCTATGCTATTTAATAAATACATTCGACAGACCTGGAATCTTTAATGCCCGCACACAGTAAACAAACACACATTTTTGAACACGTATAAGAAAAAATAAGTGTTGTCTTGTTACGGATCAAATCGAAGTCCTGTTACAATTCAATTAATTAATGAAAGCGTGTATCGCAAGGCATCGGCTAACCCAGCACTATATATTACGCTATTTTATAAATACATTCGTCAAATCTGCAATCTTTAATCTTTAATTTTTAATCCCCGCACACAGAAAACAAACACACATTCATGAACACGTATAAAAAAATAAGTGGTCTCTTAATTGTTACGGATCAAATCTTGTTACAATTCAATAATAATTGATAATAGCGCGCATTGCAATGCATTGGCTAACTCAGCATTATACGCTATTTAATAATACATTCGTCAGATTTGGAATCTTAAATTATAATCATAATTATATGTGCTCGCGCGTGGGAAGTGAAAGTGAAAGGAATTGAAAATGCTTTCAAAAACAATATGAAAGTAACATAATTAAAGTAGGACTACATGTGCTTATGAAGGCCCAAAAAGGTGTATGGATGCGGAAATTAATGTTTCGGATGAAAATAATACGTTATCTTTACTACTGTAGCATGCGGTCAAAAAATTGATGCGCAACTTATTATCAAATATCTAGGCTACTGAACTATCGAACACCTAGATCTAGATTCTCCTACTTTTACACAATGACTTAGATCTAGATCTATATCAATTCGTCTTAACCGATGAGTATTTTTTTCAAACATTTGTACACATCTATATGTTCTATATTATTCTAGAATTTTTTTAAAAGAAAATTCTTTAATAAATACTAGATCTAGCCCAATATTTTTTTTTTTATCCCAGTCAATGGTTTCTACACATTTTTTAAAAGTTTATAGCTGGAGCTAAATCTCTTTTAAAAGCAAGTCCGTCCTTTTTTCTACTTCTGCTGGCGACATAAAGCTAATTATTGAACGCATGTTTTGAGAACATTGATTAGATCTAGTGAGAAAATATGTTCAGTGTAAAACAAATTTCTTTTAACAAGTTTTGCTACTAAAAAAATTACGTAGGCCATATGCGTATGCAAAATGTGTGTGGGAAGCTAGAAGTGCTGTGAACAATCCCATCCGTGTTACGAATTTTTTCACAGTTCTGTAGATCTTATATTTATAAACTCTCTATGTCTGCTTTTCTGTTGTTGCACCCTAAAACACAACAATTTAAAACCTTAATTCCAATCTCCAGGTTGCACAGTGAATTTTGTAATTCAAAATTACAAACTGGACAGTAAATGTTCCACTTTTCACTCGTTTGTAAAAGTCGCTCTTGCTTTAAAAGCTATAGGGTTACTTCCGAAAACGATCAATCGTGCCCTCAAGACGCCATTGTTTTGGGTCTTCAATTCCTCACAGGTCACGTGGTACAGTCCCCGTTCTATAAGTGTAGAATTCTGTGTCTTAGACAGAAAATTGCTGTCAGAAAGAAATTTTTTTTTTACAAATTTGTCTAGATCTAGAGAAATGATCAATAGGAAGATTCTTCGGCACGGGAACGCGATAAGGGCCACGATGAAAGAAATTTATGCTAGAAATACTAAAATCAAGAATAATTCAAAGTGATGTTCCGAGGTTGTGACTTGCGACATTCAGACGTGAAATTTAAGGAAAATTAGGGTAAACGCTGGGTAACTGTATTGTGAAGGTACATATCTATTCATTATTCCCAGGTTTGCCTTCTATCAATGGTGCAATGACAAATTAATTGAATTATAGTAGCAATGGAAGGGGAACCTGCTTTTAAACATTGCCATCAATGGAAGAATATTATGTAGATCTTGGTGAAGAAATCAAACAAGACAAAATGTTGATGAATAAATAAATGTTATGATTTGTAGGCAATCTCTTCAAACAGGCTCCCAAATGCCATTTTCAACCCTCTCAAAGCACTAAATTTCAATTTCTTGGGGGGCTTCGCCCCCTGAACCCTCACCGGGAGGCTGTTCCTGGAGGCACTGATTCAGAGTTTATACATGTTGTATCCTCTATGTGTGTCCAAATTTGCCTCTCTCTTTTTTGCCAGTGAAATGTACTTTGGCTCAGTGACAATATCTTTTTCTCTCTTCTTGACCATTTTAATTGTAAACCAAACAATGGTTTATTTCTTGAGCTGGAAGGTTTTCAATCAAAATGAAATCATTCCTATAATCCAAACTCTTCATCTTGGGTACAGACCCATTCTTGAGAAATTTCAAGTGCTTAAAACTGATTGGGTAATTCCCTTTTTTCTTCTTTTTATTTATTTAATTTTTTTTTTTTTCGGCAGTTTACACTGGACACCGCAGCATGCCCGTCAGTCACATTGACGCCAACATTAATTTGACGCAAGAGGATCATCTCGCTGTGTACCGACATGTGGTGCAGACCTCCCACGAGGCGGGGAAAGTGATACCTATCGACCGCAGCGATGAACTCCTCACCACGGACTGGAGCAGTCTTGTGAAGAAAGGTTAGCGCATCGCCGCATTTGATTGGGATGTACTGTACAGAAATGCTGGCAAAATTTGTTGTCATTTTCACCAGTTTTATGGTATGACTTACCTTACAGGGCATGTGATTAGTGGGTTTGTGGATGTTTTGTTTTAGTTTTACAAAGTTTTACAGTACTTGCAACACAGCCAGGTTATACAAGTTGCTACCTCAGAATTATAAAGTTCTATCTGACATTTTTGGCCATTTTGAGTTTCTGAGACCATGAGATCAGAAATCAAATGCTCTATCTGCTTTATCAAAATCGTATGATTATTCTGAGCCATTATCAAGATATTTAGGGTAAAGTGGGAAGCTCAAAATGTTTTACATCATATGTCTCAAAACTAGGTACTGTGGGGATAGAACTTGGTAATTCTGAGGCAGCAGAATGCTGAAGATTAGTGGTGTTACAAGAGAGTAACTTACAAAGAGAAGAAGGAGGAGAATGATGGTAGGTGTTTGGTAGGGAAAGGGGAGTAAACCACATCAAAGCTGTCGCCAACTCAACTACCCACATTCTCAGGTGTGGTCAGACAATATTGGGTAAAAAACCCAAATCTGCAAAATGTTTGAGATTTCAAAGTCAACTTTATCAACTTCATGAAAACTAGGGGGGAAAATGAAGAATTGTGCTGGATGAGAGAGGAAAATGGATAAACTAATTAAATTTGTACCAGTAGAACAAGCAGTGGTGTTTCGCTCTGATTTCTACAGGATTGGACAAGGAGGCAAAAATCAAGTAAAATTTGACCCAATTGTCCTGTTTTGTTTATCTGGTTTGATACCGCCTGAAATTTGTACAATGCAAAATTCACACACATTGAAAAGATTTCTGCATCCTGCAGATTTCATTATGTGCCTTCTAGACTGTATTGTGCCTTTGTGGGACTGAGTTTTTCCAAAGCCATGTATACATTTAGATAGAGGGTGTATACTTTCTTTTTAACACTTTGCGGTCACTTAGCGCAAAAATGCGGCGCTGAATTGCGCCAGGTCTGAGAAGTCCGTTGCAGTCGGTCTCCTTGCTGGGTGACCAGATGGGGCTTTTTGTACTGCTGTGTGTGTGACTGCAAAGTGTTAAAATATTTTTCTTGTTTCAGGTCTTCTGAATGAACAGAGCAACAAGGAGTTTTCCTCTAAGTTGGAGCAACTGGCTGCTCTCCGAGACATGAAGAGAAGGAGGCAGTCGTACAGGGCAAAAAACGTTCATATCACCAAGAAATCCTACAAAGAGGTTTGTGCTTGATCATAGTATACGGTTGTTGTTGTTATTAATCTAGCAACAGCTGGGCCCTCACCCGTCTGTCCAATGCCATGATAGTAATAAGTGTATTTTTGCTGCTGTTGCTGTAATGTTCCATAGAGTGTGTTGTGAATGTTAGGTCTGGGAGGGAGAAGTGTAGCTCTGATGCCATTTGGGGCTGTGTAGTGGAACAGGTGATGATCCAGTCACATATGCAGTCACACAAATGACACATTGGTGAAAGCCGAATATACAGTAAAACCCTGATAACATGAATTTTTCACATCAAACAAATTTCTTGTTGAAGTGCTAATGAAAAGAACAACAGAAAAGGTGAAGTGACTCTTTTTTTACTGTTCAGATCAAACGCCAAGTCTTTTATAGTCTATTTTTACGTCATTGATAACATGGAAAAGCCGCCGACCTTTGGAATTTGAAGAAAGGAAAACTTATTTTCAACTTTGGACTGATGCTTTGACTGCACAGAATGAGGTTCAAGGAAAGTTAGGTTTTTATAGCTGTTAACCGGATGATTTTCCATGCTGCTGCTCAGTGAGAGGAAAATCAAATAAAGCTTGGTATTGATAAAGCATCACTGCACATTATGAAGATAATCTGAAAATTTATAATATGGGATGTTCCTATCAAATTAGGAACAGTTACCAGTTTCAGTTTCTCATCTACTTGTTGTGCAAAACAAAGCCACTCTCTCGACTCTTACCACCTCTTGTTGCTTGTGGAAAGTGGGAGCGAAAATTCAATGGATGGATGAAGCGTCCCAGTTTTTTTTAGAGCATGGGTTTCTAAATCTTAAGTCGAGTCTAGAAACATTGTGACTACTCTCTCAACTCTCTTTTTGTTTCATATAATATATCTCTTTTATATTTTCCATAAGGTATCCTGAATCAAGATTTGGCCAAGGTTCATGGCTGAATTCTATGATATAATTTCTTTTAGTACGACATTCATTATATGTTAATGGGCTCTTTCAGTAAGTTTCTCGTTTGTTTTTTTCTTGGTTTTAGATTATCCGTGAAGTGATCGTGAATCAGATGGAAGTACTAAAGCCTGCTGAAGAGGATGAAAAACCAAGTCTATCAAGACTGAGTGAGGGGAGGGACAGAGACCGAGACATAAGAGAGAAAGGAGGACAGTCCAGCCGACACGGCAGCAGGGACCGATATCGACGTGCCGATCGAAGCCCCTTAGACGAGAGGAGAAACAGAAGCCCAATGACCCGTAGGAGTCGGGATCGAAGTCCGTACAGTAGACACTCGAAACGAGAAAGGTCTCGAGACAGACATCGCGGGGACCGGAGCAGATTCAAAGAGGGATCATATTATCCAGATTCCAGCCGTCGATACAACCCAGAAGGTTCTCAACAAGAGATCTTGTCCGTTGAAGGAGGGTACTTGGACTTACAGCTTAAGCAAGAGGAAGTGTCCGATGACTCCCAAGATCAAGAATATGAATACAAGGACAGGTCTCGCTCGAGTTACTTGGGTGAAGAGGAAGAAAAGAAAAGGCATAAAAGAAGGAAGCGTAGTCGCTCATTGTCAGAATGTTCGGAGAGTGAGGCGAATGAAGAGGGTTCTCGTCGCGACGGTCGTGGTAAGCATAAAAAGTCTAAGCACAAAAAGAAACACAGCAAGAAGCAGAAGAAGAAATCTAAGTGATTGCAATATGAGTGCTTGAAGTAAGTCTCTGATGGGTTGTAAAGTTACGAAAAGGACACCTTTTTTTGTGTGTGTGTGTGTAAGAATGGAAGAATGGCCTCAGAATGTTCAGTACAAATTAAGTCTTTGTTTGCAAAGAAATGAATTGAACTGTTTATGATTATTAAAAATGACAATTACAATGATTTGTTTTGGAGATTTTTGTCTGTTTTTCCTACCTTATCTCTTTGTGTTTATGCTGAGCCAATGTTTGTTTTGTTTTATATTATGTATATATAAATACGAGTGTTGCATCATGATGAAATCAGGCACTTGTCAATATAATGAAATCGCAGAAACCATCTTTTTTCTGCCTGTTGAACAATTTTTACAGAATTCTTTTTGTTTGGCTCAACACCATTTATACATTTAAAGGCACATTTCTGGGTGGATTTTTACTGAAAAGCATTGATAATGGGGATGAAAATATAAATTTGCAGTTTCCAAGGACATTTATTAAATTTAAATATTTAACTTTGGTACCGGTTGCCATTTTCTCTCTAATTTTACCTCTGGTTCCAGGCAACCCCCCACCTCCTTTAATTGCAAATATCTCGACCTGTTTTCAAGATACATTGGTTTGTTCATTTTCTCCATAAAAAGAAAAATGACTGAACTAGTTGTAAGATGATTTCAATAACTTCATATTCCCCAAAATTTACGAGTGCCTGATTTCACCACGTTGTGACAAACACCCACATTTTTACAGTTTACCCCAGCAGAACCTAAAACACTCACAAACATTCTCGGCTTCCCGGGAAGCATACAGTGCAAGCAGCTGATTAAGCACTCGAACACTAACAAACTGACAGTCTTTCGCTATCTATAGCTGGGTACCAATTCTCACCTGAGTGAAGTGAGGAAAATTTACAGTAGTAAAGTGCTGTTCTCAAGGACACATTGGGCTTTTGATGGGGTCTGAACCCAGGTCCTTCTCAGTTGTAAGCCCAACATTCCAATCACTAGACTGCCGGCGCCACATACATGTACATGTGCAAGGCCAAAAAAGGCCACTAACAAAACTAAGGGCCCTGATTAGGATTTTTTTCTAATATCAGTGCCTCATCCCAGTCCACGTAGCTTAAAATTCACTAGTGACTTGTGACTTAGTTTTTTAACTTGGCTGTTGCGGATAGAAAGGTGTGGAAGTCCAAAGTCAAAGAAATTACAGTCACAAGAGGATGGTCTTATTTTAAGACTTCTTAAGATGTAGAGCTAAAACTAAACAAGTAAATTATAAATTAAAACTAGGTTTTGCAGTCTTCATTGACATCTTAACAAACAATTTTTCTGTTTTGAGGTTTCCTCCTTTTCAACGCAGTTATTTTAAAAATCGTCAGAAATTGTAACCTCAACATAAATGTCAGGTGATCAAGAAAAAAATTATAATACAAGAAGCCTAGGTTCTACATGTAGGTACATAAAGAACATGTACCAAACTGAGATTATAATGCTGTCCCCAGTGGTGTTGATTAAAAAAACTCTCACCAGTTTCAAGCACTAGCACTAACATAGCCTCATGTAAGACTCAACAACTTTCTCATTCACTCTCTAAATGCCAGAAAAATTCCAATTCTAAAGCCTCTACTCTGGATATTTATCAATTATATATGCACAACAGCTGGAGAAAAAAAAAGAAAACACAGAAAGAAGGCCATTCATTCCATTCATCTTCAAACTTTATTTTGAACGCCATAACAACGAGATGGCAATAAATAATGATGATGTATTCCTACAAATACCTGAAGCCCAACACAGTAGAAGCAATGTGTTCCTCTGTACCAATCCAACATAGACAAATTTGATGAAGTTGGTGTTGAAGAATGAAGTACAGAACAATATGACACATGAGAATGGTAGGTGAGCGACCGACAATGACAATCTTCTCCCAGTATGCATTCAGTTGAATATTTCATCCCCATATCGATACAAGTGTGGTTTCTCTTCTTTCTTCCCGATTGTCATACTTTTTCTCTGCACTGAATGACTGTTCTTGTGTCAGTTGTGCCTCTGTTAACTTGATACTCAGTCCACGCAGTTTAAAAATTTAGGAAGTGAGATAATTCTACCACGCATGTGAAAGCAAACTTAAACCGTGTAGGTTGGGGACAAGATTTCCAACGTGGGAATCAATCAAACTCACATCCTATATGTTCAAAATGAAGAGCCAGACCACTACATCATTTCAAACTGTCAATATGGGGCTACTGACTTTAGACATCTGGTTAAAAAAATGTTGTCCTCAGATCATTCTGAAAAAAATAATCTACACTACACATGCAAAATAACCAAGACTGATACTGAAACATAATAGACAATGAAATGAGGTTGAGCCAGCTTATGCCACAACTGTCTATCTGATACTTCCTCAGAACAGACATCTCCACCAAAAATACAGTAGAACACGGCTATAGCGAGACTTTTGGTTCCACAAGAAAAATCCCGCTGTAGGCCAGTTCCCACTATTGGAATGCAAAGGGGAAATTACCGAAAAATTCCTAAATATCTACCTGATAACATCCCTTCCATATTATATTAATATAATTTGCCCTTTATATATTAGTATTCCTATAACTGCCAACTCCGTTGATTGTCTCGGCCTTTAATTCGAGTGAGAAGCAATTACTTTTGTCTTTGTTGGAAGCCATCTTTTCCTCGTTTTTTGCTTGTGCTGTCTATTGTACCGGTAGGCCTACAGTAGAACTGGTGAAGTGGAGGCGCGCATATGCCTGGGTATCAACGACCGCATTTCAATGAATCAGAAATCGCACACTACACGCTCTCTTCTTTTACTTTGTGGCCTAGCCTAGGGCTTTGGCCAATACGCTCTTATACGGTACTGAGTTAAATGGGCGTGTAGGCTATGGCACATCACTTTAAATTTTGAAGTTGCTCACGTAATGTGTCTCTCCACACCATCTCTCTCTGCCGCCAGCCCCACCTCACTCATCACTGGACTGGCCAATCACAATGCCGCACTGCTGACTGCCTGTTTGGATCCCCCCTACAGCTAGAGCTCACTCGATCTCTCCCGCTGTATCAAAGTTCTGGCCTTTCCTTGCCCTGTTTAACCTGAGTACAGGTAATTGAGTTTGCGAAGGGATTCCGGTAAGGTCCCGCTACAGCGGGTACAGCTACAGTTATACTCTACTGTATAGAGATCTACATCACTTTGGGACAGGTTTACGTAACGCATCTCTCTGCACCATTTCTCTCTCTCCTGGCCTACCGCCTAACCCCCCCCCCCCCCCAAGTCATCACTGGACTAGCCAAATCACAACGCCACACCGCTGACTGCCTGTTTGGAGCCCGCATACAGCCCACCCCCAGCTAGAGCTCGCTCGATCTCTCCCGCTGTATCCGAGTCCCTGACTTTCCTTGCCCCGCCCGCTATATCTGAGCATAAGTAATTGAGTTTACATTAGGAAAACAAAAGGGGACTCCAGTAGGGTCCCCCTGTAGGGATGGTCCCGCATTGCGGGTGCTGCTATAGTCATGTTCTACTGTACTCTTAAGTTTTGTGTATAGTTAGTTATAAGGAGTCGGCAAGATAATGGTGAAATTTCACCGCAGTGCAAACTTCCGAACTAAATAACATTCATTCATCAATGGAGGCAAAACTTCTTTCAGTTCTTTTGGCTTGATATTCCCACTACAACTACATTCTACTACATCTGAGTTGAAAAAGTACAACGATAGTACAGCAACAGTATTACAGTGCATGACTACATGCAAAATTAATTAAAAGCATCAAAGTAATAAATAGAATCTACATTTATGAACAAAATGAAGATGAATGAGAAAATGTTTATTTTCAAAATGTTGATGAACAAGAGGATAATTATTTTCAACATGTTTCTTTGATTCACGAAGTTTAGAATAAATTATACCTTGAAGGACAATAATTTTCAGCCACACATGCACACACAAAAGACAAACCTTTTACTCCCCCCTTTCTCTCTCTTTCTTTCTTTCTCTCTCTCTTTCTCTCTCCCTCTCCCATTTTCCCTTTGTTTTGGTATTTACCACACCACAAGGTATGTAAAAATATTTAGAGTTGCTAATTTTTCTTACAACAACAATGATGTATAATGTAAATATATATCTTAGAATAAATAGATAAATGTATACATCTATTATTATGGTAAATGCCTTGGAATGGCAAGGAGGCAAAGGGCATAATAAAAATGTTCCACGTTTTAAAAACAGCAACCATCTAAAACAGGAAGATGGGCAACAAAATAACCAGACAGAAAACAAAAATCAAAGCATTGTTCTTGCATATGTGGAGGTTTATCGGTGATAAAGTCAATGGAAAAACAACCATTTCAACAACAAGAACTCAAATGGGTACTTAACCAATAGACTCCTCTTGCCCCCCCCACATCAAATTAACAGCTTGAATCTGACTACCGTACTTCCTCATTGCTGTGGACTCAAATGGGTACTTTACCAATAGATTCCTCTTGCTCCCCCTCCCCTCCCCCACATCAAATTAACTGCTTGAATCTGACTACCGTACTTCCTTATTGCTGTGGAGTAATTGTTCACCTACAATAAGTAGCAAGACACAGCAAGCATAAAACTTAAAATAAAACATAACTGAATCATATAGTAGCAAATGCTGGTAACCCACGACCCAAACAGCACAAATGATAGATAAATGCCTGTGCCCCATACTCATTGATAGTGATAGGTGGGATCTATGACAATAAATATTCAAAAATTAAGATCTCAAAAGGGAAACAAAACAACTGCTTAGGGTAAGAAGTTTGCCATCACACATCATTCAGAAAAGTGATGTATTATAACAGAGTTTTACACTGAGCAGTCGAAAAAGACAAACAGCATAAAGTCATTGGGGGAACAAAAACCACAGTAAAAGATTGTTGTATGTAAAGTAAATTATTACAATTCAGAGTCCTAAGGATTTTATTAATCATAGCCATCTTTATTTCATGGTATGTCAATGTGTGCAGTCTTCAAGAGCCATGAAAGAATTTATGTACAAACAAAAAAAAACCCAACATTTTTTTAAACAGGAGGGAGCAGGAAAAGTAGATAAGGAGATCATATTGACATATTCTTCTTCAGGGAGCACAACTTGTCCAGTGTTTAACTGATTCCAAAACATCAAGACCTTCGAACAGACCCCTGTGTCCAGTAAGCTGAGACACATATCATTCAATGGCATGCATATTTGTCAGGACGTGGTGGAATCAGGCGTTCGTCAATTTTTCGGCATATGGAGTTTTTGGTATCATCTTTAAGTTTGTTCAGTTGTCTTGTTTTCGATTAAAAAGTTATCCATCTTCAATAGAAGTTGAGATATTTCGGATTGAAGAGGTGGAGTCGCTTGGTTTCTAGAAGTAACATTAGGGATAAAATGGCCACCAAAGTTTGGCAACTTGCAAAGCTTGAGATTGAGAGTCCTTGGAAATTGTAAATTTACATTTTTTGTGCCATTTATCAGCTTTTTTCAATGAAAGCCACACAGCAAAGTGTTTTTAAATGGACATAAAAGGTGCTGAGCCAAAAAATTAAAATTCGACAAAAATTGCCAAATTGGAAGAAAAATGCGCTTTCTTCAATTTCATTATTTTGTCAAGCACCTGATTTCACCACGATGCCTCACATATTATGTGACCTCCACTCAAACTCAACAATGTCTCTATTGAATAGGACAGTAAAAAAATATTCCAAAATTTTAGAGAGCAAACACATCTCAACATGAACTTTTCCATTATATTATACAGACACACATCAGGTCACCACACAACACAGACAAAATCACTTCATAAACATATATATATATAAATATGTTATATTGCTCAAGTTTAACGAAACAAAAACATTATGGAAAACATTTAATTACTTTTGATCAGGAATTTCCGCGTCTTATATATTTATTGCTTACAGGAAATTAAACATGAAATTAAGGATAGCTGTAAATCATTTTTGATGAGGCTTCCTCACACCTCATGTATTATATTGCTTAAAATAAACGTGAAATGAAACACAGAACAAGAGTAAAAGTATTTTTGCCGGAGCTGTTTCACATCTCGCACATCCAGCTAGGAAGCATAACTTCTCCAGACATCAGATCACAAAAAGTGATATGTTATAGACAAGAAAGCAAAACCTAGTTTGTTGTACTCCAAAGGGTCATGGCAAAAAAAATGAAATGAAATAGAGCTTACACCTAACATTTATTCCTGAGGCATTTCCAGTTTTTAAAACAAAAACATAGCCTACATGTACATTGGAAAACTTGTTTACAATAAACTTGTGCAGCCCCCCACCATAAAAATGTACGTGGAAAAATAATATAGAAAATAGTACGGAAAGAGAGAGAATGCTCTTTTAAGTTTCAGTTTCGGATACAGAATCATGAGACTGAAAATAGACAGCATTTTTTACTGTTAACCGCCAATTCAACATGAAGTAAGGGACGATTTTCAAGTTCAGACAGGGAAAAGGGCTACCGTACATGAATATTTGAATGGTAGCTATCATTTTTATTATTTGTACTCAGTTGGGATCTCTCAGGGCTTACAATACTGAGGAACAAAAGGGGGGAAAAAAAACAAAACATAGCAACAACTTTGTTCTAAAGTTTTCTGGTGCCTACAAAAGAAATCGTTACAGGGCTCTAAGTGGAACTGTCAAAGGCTTGAGATTTATCCATTACAAATAATGAACACACTTAAGGACCTGAATAATTCCCACACAGAAAAATATGCGCTTGTAGGAAGGGGGAAGGGGGTGTTTACTGGGAGGCATGTGACTTCTGGGAATGCTTTAGTTCATTTTTAAAAAAGGTACTCTCTCCAACACACATACAGTACAGTACTATGCTATAAAACTAAGTGTGTGTTTGCGTTGGAACACTTTGTGGGGGGGGTGTGGAGGAAATATTTATCCAGGGAGGTATATTAACTTCAGGGAATGCCCCAGTTTACAAAGCACTCTCTCTCTCTCTTTGTCTCTCTCTTTCTCACACACAGTATCGCACCAATATATTTAATATATATTGATATTATTGACAAGTACAGCCAAACCTGTCCAAGATAACTATCTACTTACAAGGACAACAGAGGTCATTTTAGTGTTCCTGAACTGGTGGTCGTCTTAGACAGTGTCATTATAATATAAAATAGATTATATGCAAATTGGGGAGAGAGTATGGAGTGGTCATTTGTATAGGTGGTTGTCTGAAAAAAAAGTGGTAGGACTAAAGGTTTAACACCTCTATCAACACTTTTAGGTTATTTAGGAGGCGAGGGGGGGGGGTCCTGGACAGGTGGTCACTAGAGCAAGTACAACTGTGTTCTAACAATAATCACTTTTTCTGTTGATAGTGGGTGGTTGCCTTGGACAATTTTGATCAATACAATATAAATACTTACTTTATCACACAATCCAAATGGCGAGAAGTTTTGCATCACCATTGAACTTCCTTGCTAAAAAATCTCCTGTGTAAATGATTGGTATAACGAGGAGCAAAATAGGGCTGTGGATACGAGACACACACAGCACCAAAAAAAAAAAATTAACTACAGGAAGTTGGCTTAGTTAGTGAGGGGAGGAAGATTTTGTAGCCGAGGTCTGGTAGATTTGGGCACAAGTTTAGTATGAGTTTTACAGCACTTGGCACTTACAAAACTATTGGGTCATATACATACCAAGGTTAAAGGTGCTACTAGAGTTAAACATACAAACAAAAGAAGGAGATCAAATGTTACGGGACAATACTGAGCCATACCAGGTAAAATAAGGAATAAATGACCACCTCCCTGACCCTTCACTTATCAAATATAGAAACGTAAAAAACTCTCACATTCAAAGCACAAAATGAAAAACCTGAAGGGTATATACTGTGAAACTCGGATATAACGAAGTCCTCGGGCCTGACCTCCAATTTCATTGAATCCAAATGTTCATTGTAGCAAACAGGGGATTTTGGGGTAGACAATTACAGGCACCGCACAAGTAATGTATAATGTGTTCCACTTCCACAATCAAAAGTAGTTTGGTTGCAAATGAGAAGCATTTTCATTTCTTTGATGTATTACCGAAGAAATCCTGGTAAATACTAAGAAAGTACACAGAACCCTACCAAGCACACACTGTTCAAAAGCACGTTCAAATACACACCTGTAATTATTTATCTATGACGTATTGTGTGCCAAACAAGTAGAGTTGCTGTGTAGAGCCTAGGATATGACAACATTGGATTCTACGCTGGGTGTAAGACACATGCGCATGTCCCAGCAACGTGTGTAGGCATGAAAGAAGGCCATTAATTGGTAGCATAAAATATATGCAGGTGCTATAGATGGTGTCCAGTTTCCAGAAATGGATAAAGTTCGTTGCGGGAGAAAAATGAGTGCAGTCATGTCAGTGGGGGCTGTTCACCCTGCAACTGCAAGCGACTTTGTTGAATCCAAGCTTGCTCATTTATGTGTTTGTTGAATCCGAGTTATTTTTATTGATTCTAATTAATTTTGAGGAACAGGGAATTCACCTCCTTTCATTGAATCCGAGTTCCACTGTATATATAAAGGACACAAAACCTATAAATGCAAAACAAGAGCAAATAATATACTTTAAAAAAGTCTATACATAAAAGTCTTAAGCTCCAAGCTGTAAATCACTTCACCGTTAAGAAATTACTTCATTTAGACCGCACAAAATATAATAATCAATTCTCTGAGCTACAGTCAAATAATAAATAATTTATGGTATTTATTATCACATGTGTCGCACAATAATTTCTCCAAACAGAAGAATACAATGATGGAATACAGGTCAGCCAATTTGAAGACTTTCACAGACAACACACAATGACTTGCAGTTTTTCTAAAGTCCAAAAGACAAAATTAGGGACAAAAATCACCAAGACTCTGTACACATTTTCCTGTGCGCATCTCACTCGGACTCAGGCTGGCTAACAAACAATTAGAGGAATGAATGTTTGACTAGCAATATTGAAAAGTAAATACAGCTTCTGTCGCAAAATCAAAGAATTACCAAACAGATCAATACATGTTCACCATTCTCCAGGACGAAGTAGGATATATTCAGAACTTCTTTATATAATATCACTCTCAGCGTTCACAACCAGATGAAATAAAGAGCTTCAACATAATCAATGTAGTCAGTTTTCCCACAAAAACGACGATAAATGACTAATACATATCAAAGTTCTTCCCAATGTGCAACGTTTAAGAAAGCGGAGTAATTGTAACTCAATGTAACCCAGGACATAGTAAATTCTTCCGCATGACGGCAAAGAAAAACCCACTGGAAGTCGAGAGCACCGATATCAAAGTGATCTGGTGTAAAGTTTTTCTTTTTTTAAAACGATCCTTTTTTTTTAAACACACAATGTGCATCCATAGTACCTTAGAAACTTTTGATACAAAGAAAATTAAAATTAAAATGAAAAAAAAAAGTGTTCCCAACTTTTTAAAGACAGCCAAAAGGTTAGAATACAAATAACTGTTTCAGGACCTGCAAGCAGTTGGGTTTTTTCTGTGAACACATCATATTCTAATACATTTGAAACAGTTTCACTGGGGCAATAAGTCTCAACGCTAAAATTAAAAGTAATATGACGAGCATTACTTTTTACCTGACCCTTCTAAGCTCAAATACAATAAACGAACAACAAAAAAGTTGTCAGGCGAAGTCATGCTGAGCACAAGTTCATTTCCATGAAACAATCAACAAAAGCAAGAAAACGTATCATCACTTCTGCATTTATATTTTCAGTTCTGCTAAAAAGTGTCCAGAATAAAATATGGCAAACAAATCCACAGCAATTTACAAAATCTTTGGCATACCAAACTTCAAAAACATCCTGAGTTAGCGTTAAAAACTATTAAGCACCCAGTGTTAAGCACCTAGAAACCTACAAACTGTGGGAAAAAATATCATTATATTAGTTTTAGCTGACTAAATTTGTATCCACATTGAAAATGTATTCATTTCAAAAGCACACTGATCCTCCTTCAGAGAGATTCTCTTCATAATCATGTTTCTCAGATCTAAAATAATGCTCCCCCCTTCCTTCAACATGACTAGAGCAGAAATTCTAATTACTCGTCAGCTGCTGTTCACACAACTAACATTTTAATCGAGTACAGTTTTCCTTACCTGCAAATAGACAATGGTAACAAGAAGGACACAACCCTTCAGTCTCTCTCTCTCTCTCTCTCTCTCTCTCTCTCTCTCTCTCTCTCTCATCTTCCCCAACTTGTTCATCTCATACAAATAAAATGCTATTTATGTTATCACCACCTTTTGCACAAGTACACTGAACTTTACCCAAAAGAGTGGACAGAAAGTAAATGAAATGAAACACAAAAATACAAAAATTGTATAAGAAATATGAGAATAACCAAAGTTTGCTGTTGAGCTGAAACTCATTATTTTTTTTAATCATTCATCAGTGGACCATAGAAACTAAGACATAGACCACAGAAATGTACACTTCAAAACTGCCCCTCAAATCCTGCTTCTCTCTTCTGTAATTCAGTTCTGCACAACACTACTGTAATTCAAAGAGAGAACAGTCCACATATATAAATGCATATCAAAAAGGTCTTAGTTAAAGAGAAGATTGTCTCCACTGTGAGGTGAGCTTGATCTATACGTAAAACAATCTATCCCAAAAGAACAGGCCACAGGGAAAGAACTAAGATTGCCACTGGATCGGAAAAGTAAGAAAATAAAGTATCCCAAAACAAAGGGTCGTACAGAATTTGGTGCATCAGGTCAGTAATTACTCATTCATGTAAGCTCTTCCATTAGCTTTCAACCTCCTTCTCCACCCCCCTCCACAACCCACAAAGGAAAACAAAGTGAAAAAAACTAAAAGGCACCTGGAGGAGAACAGAAGAGAATGAATTGAAAAATCAGAGACAGCGAAAATTTGGGATGAGCTTAGACGATTTTAGACGATTCACCTAGGAGAGAGACGAATGGAAGAAAATTGTCGGAGCCCCATGTTCCTACCAGAGTGATGGGTAAGGCTATCCATAACACTTGATGAGTCTCTGTCTCCATCCCATATATATTAATATATATATTATATATACATATATCTATATATTCATCACTCTTTGGAGAAATGTTCACAGACTTACTCTCTCTAATTTGTCACTCTTAAACTCTCACATCTACAAAAAGACATGCTCAAAGGGACAATACATCTCTCTCAACAAAAAAGCTAAGGCGCATCCCACAATATAAGAAACTTCTTGTCCAAATATTGCACAGACATGGGTGGGAAATATCACGATAACACAAGACCATGGGAATGTTAAGTTGTTTATCAAAGCCTGCATGTTTTCACACACAGCCTAGCAATACTAGCATGCACACAACATGAACGTGTGCACAGCCAAACACGCACAAAGCAAACAGATTTTCAGGTCCGGACCTTCTGACAAAAATACATGTATATTCTTTACATTTAAAACAAGTACAAAGCGAAATGTATACATAATGAAAAGATTTCCATGTCCTGCTGATTTCACTTAGTGCAAAGCGTGCTAGACTGCAGGAGGAAGTACAGGGACAGAAAGCAAAATCTCCTGTTGGGCCATGAGCGTTCATGGCAATGTTAGCAATTCAACAAGAATGCAGTCTAGCGTAAAAAGTAAATGTATAGCATTAATGCCCCTAATAAGAAGAAGAAGAAGAAGAAGAAGAAGAATAGATAGATAGCATTTGAATAGCGCAAATTCTCCCTCAGCAGCATGCTCTATGTGCTTTACAATTTATATTATTACCCACAATCTCAACTTCCAAGGAAGCACATAGTGCAAGATGTTATTTTTACAGGTCCTAAAACACTAACAAACTGACAAGATCTTTAGCTATCTATGGCCAGGTACCCGTTCCCACCTGGATGAAATGAGGAAAATCTGTGAGGAGTGCATTTCCCAAGGACACAACGTCAGGCCTGAGGCTTGAACCTTCCTGCCCCGCAACCACATGATTATGAGTCTAGTAGCCTAACCACTAGACTATCGACTATAAACACTATTAGGTAATTTAAGAGAAGGGACTTCTAAAGTTAACTGCCATCTCCGATAGGACCAAGCCAAATGGGTTGAGAGCCTTGAAAACTCCACAAGACAGCTCCGTTTGGGATTCTAACCAGGGCCCTCCGCTTCAGAGTCCAGCATGATACCAGCTGGGCGAACAGAGCGCCCACACAGTCTAGCAACAGCGACATAAAGTACATAATAATATAGTGCAACAGTAACGTCATATCCTCATAAGCACATATGCGACTCAGTGTACTCATGCCATGTCACGAACATAACGTCACAGCGCAACAACAGTGACATAACATGGTTGAGCAGCAATAACAACATGTCCAAAGATAGCAACACAGTAGAGAAAAAGCTCGCCGTATCCCAAGAGAGACAAGTCATCACATAGGGAAAGCAACAAAATATCCTCATGTACCAATAGTGACACAACGACACTATATAGCAATAGTGACATATTGTCTTCATGTAGTGGCAGCAACATAATGTCATATAATGTATCACCTGGGACATAACGTTTTCCAAAGTTTTTAAGTCATTATGGAGCAACCTCAATGTATGATTCTCATGAAGCCATAGTGACAAATGTAATGTCCTTGGCAAGTAACATTGGTCCGTTGCCATCAGTAGCGACGGGGACATAAGTTCATGTAGCCACAGGCACATTCAGCTATCACATAGCAGCAGAGACATTCAGTCATCATGCAGCAGCAGAGATGAAGTCATCATATAGCCACAGAGATGTACAGTCATCATGTAGCCACAGACACATTCAGCTATCATATAGCAGCAGAGACATTCAGTCACCATGAGGCAAGAGACATTCAGTCATCATAAAGCCACAGAGCTATCATGTAGCAATAAAGATGTATAGTCGTCATGTAGCAACAAGGACATTTAGCCATCATGCAGCAAATGCAATAAAATGTCTCTTCACATTTCAGTGGCGACGTAATGTGTAAGTGACAAAGACAAAAAAATGTCCTCACATTGCTGAGGTGAGCAATATATCTTAAAGTAGCAACAGCGACATTTAAGTGTTCCCATACAGCGATGGCAACACACGAATGTCCTCAGGACAGCCCCGGGCCTTTCCTGTCATCCTCGAAAGCCTCGTTCTCATGCTTATGGGCATGGCCGTTGCTCATTACACTTCCATTACCGTTCGGGATGTGTCCGTTACGTGTGTCCTTTTTCCCGTTTGCCTGTAAATCTGTCATCGGGATCTCTTCGTGGGTGTCCGTGTCATCACTTTGGCCAGGGTCACGCTGGTTATTCTGGCGCACCATCTCCTCTTGGCTAAACAACGTGGTTTCTTGCATGTCGTCCAAGAGACCTGAAACAATAACAGCAAAATGTATTTCAGAGAAATATACATGTAAAGCAAAGTGTCAGTACGAAAGGTTCCAGTCTCATAGAGAGAAAGTGTAAAACAGAAAGTAACCGGGCAATACCTACGGCGTTAATGCTTCGTCCGAGTGAACTCTTTTTTTCACAATGTTGTGTAAAGGAATTTAAATAATTAATCACTATGTTAGAATGAGGTCGTATTACACATCTGTACATGACTCACTGATGATATAATTTTGCAGCCTGTTCAACTAAATGACTGAAATAAACTTCTATGAAATAACTCTCAATATCACATCAGATATCTTCACAACAAAACTAAAACATCTCCTCCTTTTTAACTTCGGCCCGATGTGACTAAAAACAAGGACGAATACATTTACTTTTAATAAAAGTTTTACGGCACTGGCAACAAAAAGCCGTCAAATAAATGCAGAAGATTAGAGGTGTTATTTGAGAGTAGCATATGAAGAAAACAAAGAGAGGAGAGGCAAGGATGGCAGATGTTTGAGGAAAGAAGGAGCAAACTACTACACCAGAGCACCTGTCAACCACCCACTTGGACACATTTATAGATAAATGTTTAACTTAGTCTCTAAAACAAGGGGAAAAATGAAGTTTCAAGAAACCTGTAAGTCTGAACCGCTTAACACTAGGCCTTTACTCTTGTTATGACCCCAAAAATAGTTAGGAAAACAACACTAAAACAATACAGCCACTTTGATAGGCTTTTAAACATATCTTAAATATATGAACTGATCTTTTGTTTTAGACACAGAGAAGCATACAAATATGATAGTTCAGTGCAGAAAATAAAACAGAAAAAAGACTGAAAGAAGGGATGCTACACCAATTCAGAAATAAGACTTGCTAGTGGAGCCCTCCCCTGGAAAAAATCTGACTTTCCAGAAAGAAATGCACAAATTTGACTCTGAAGGTAAACTTACCAGTAATCTCAAGATCATAAGTAGGCAAGGGCCTCTCTCCTTCCACAAGAAACAATATTGAACGAGCTGGCCAAAACAGGTGGACTAGCACAGCATACGCCAAGATATCAACTGCATAATTAATACCTGGGGAAAGAAAAAAAAAAGAAGAATTGAGGAGGACAAAGATTATATTCTGTGGTCAGACTTCTGTAGTATAAAGTAAAAACCCCCTATCTTGGAAAAAGACGGACATATCAGAACCTAAAACTCTGAGACAAAGCCAGAAAATTCGTCCACCACTTTAGATGATAAAAGCCACCAACAGTGATTGACTATGATACATCCTTTAATTTAATTATCCAACATTACAGACATGTTAGGGTTACTGCTAACATCAGACTAAGAATAAGAACACTGTCATTATATACACACATATAATACTTATATATTTTATTATCGATTTGTCAAAAAGGATTTCCACACCAAATGAACAATATATAATCCTAACGTTTTCCACAAGAGTCATCTCTGAAAAAGAACCCTCTTAAACCCCAAGGTGTGGGTTCCAATCAGCATAAAAATATAACAGTGGAGTCAAGTCCAGTATTAACACAGTGGTGTACAAGAACAGGATAATGGATTAACAATAAATAAAATGTAGATAGCACACATCCATATTTGAAAATAGGTTAATACGCTCTGCATGCTATAAAACTATTTATGACTTAGATAAACCTGGGTGGAGAGGGTTATATATTTTATTTGCATCTAAAGGCCACACAATTTCAGGCTATAATTGGGAACTGAACCTGTCATCTAACGGCTCCCAGGCTAGCAACCGGACCACGAGTCTACTGACCACCCACAACGTACATTAACAAAAAGAAGGACAAGCCTAATCTCTCTTCTCCAAAACAAGTAGGAAGAGTCTCAGGGGACCAGGATTTTGGTCCTCAGAGATTAAAATTGTGGTCTTTTCATTTAAAACCTGAGAGGGTTATTTATCAGAGAGAGAAAGAGAGAGAGAGAGAGAGAGAGAGAGAGAGAGAGAGAGAGAGAGAGAGAGACTGTTTCATTCTTTTCACAAATGATTGTTCTTCATAATAATTGAGAAAAAGCATTACAACTTGAGAAACGCATGTGCCCTCTTTTCAGCTAGCTTCATACTAACATTAAGTATTTCTTTTCTATTGTTGTCTCGCTTTCCTTCAACATTTTGAGTATAAATTTTTACAAAATATTTCGTAGGTACAAGCAAATGGTACCACCGTTTAAGAAACTGCTATAAAAGAAAAATGTTCACACACACACACA